ACAAAAATACAAACTGAAGAAAAGGGAAGAACATGGATGTCAAACGAACGTGCACCCTCATTCATCCTGATTTTTTTAGTCTCAAAATTATGTGTTGTGTTATGACATTTTGAGATTCAGCATACAGGAATTACTGTAGAACATGTAAAAATTTCAAGACAATAAAACACCCATACGCTTGTATTATATGAACATTTTATGTAGTTCCTTCAACAGCATCAAAACACTAAATTAATTATTACTTTTTTGTTTTAATATAACTACACTTTCAAGGGATTTTCAGTGTAATTTTTATTGAAATATTGAATACATTAGAAGTGGCACAAGAATATATATATATATATACATCAGTAATATGTAGAATATATATTGCACTGGTTTTTCTAAAAAGTTGTCATTAAATTGCTATTAAGAAAATACTCCTTACCAATTCAAGGACCAATCAAATAGCCTCTTTTATAGTTATAATATATGAACAAAAGATACGATGATTGTAATAATAAAGTTTATTTAATCTGTTATATTTATCCAAAATGTGTATGCCCATAGGTTTATAGCACAAAGTATAAATATTTTAAAGTGTAAATTATCATTCATTGAAGTGTAATAGACCTGTTTGGATAGCAAAATTCACATGATAAATATTATTATATCACAAAATGATTTAATTCCATGTGGTCTTTAACTCCATTTCAAGCACTTTTTCTATAATAACACACACACACACACAAAAAAATGATTTGAAACCTGAAATACGATTTTATTTTTTCCAGAAGTAAATTAAAATTGTACTATTATTAAGAAATAATATAAGAGGAGTGAATAAGAAAACGTTAATTTTTAATGTAAGCCTTTCTAAAAATTTAAAATTATAATAGAGAAAAATAAATTTCATCTTGCCATGATCATTCTTCCCTTGGTGTTATCGTTCAACATTCTGTGGCATCAGCAGAATGTTCATGAAACACTACGTAATAATTATGCAAATCTTCAGTAAAAACCAAATGCAAGACTAGGTTTCAGACAATTGTTGCAACTTTCTTCAAAATCACAAAACCGATATATTGACCAGAGGTTATAAGCATGTAAAAGTATCTTAATCAGTTTTTCAACAGATTTTTCTCAGGAAAACCAAATTCCTGATAATTATCAGTGAGGTTTATTTCTAGTTTTAAAATGCTTAATCAGTTAAATTCATGAAAGTTGTTTTGTTCAAGTGTGGACACCATTTATAATGCAATAAGTCACCTAACATGCAATACCAACTTCTATTGAGTAAAATATAATAGAAAACTTCTCTTTCATCTTATTTTATAATGCAAAGTACTTGTTTATTCATAAAACAAAAATATCAGGCATCTAAAACTACTGACCCCTGAATAAATACATCTCCATGACAATTTCTCCACACAGTTACACATCTTATTACAAATATCAATGAAAAGTTTAACTAGTCATTCTTCCTCATTCTTGAATATAAGCTAATAATTCTCTATTTTAGAATTCCAAATAATTAAAATTTTTTATTACTATCTAATATAATAGACAAAAATATATTAATACGAATCATACTTTCCACCAAAATAAAACAAGTTAAATTGTGAGATTCTGGCTATGGCCGAATGAATTTCAGCAATAACACACAAAAATTTCAAACACCAAAATAACCATTTAAATATATAGAATATACCGTGTTAATGGACTGAGTAACTCAACTGATTATGACAAGTTGTGGATACAGTTAATGCACTATGCTTACACTTAAGTTTTTAGTTCAAAAAGCTATAGATTCTTAATTGTTTTGGAAACAGTAACTTTGTAAAACTCTTACATAATTTTCTAAAACTAAAGTAAATATCATTTAAAGCTAATACAGACATGAGATTCCCATCAATATTATCTTTTATTTAATTAAATAAAATTATGAACAGTTTTACCTTTTCTTTGATTCTTTATAATCATATAATGGTTATCCACTATACATAACTCATCAAGAATAATGTGTTTTTTCTCTTTCCTACAAGTTTGGGAAAATATTTTACAGGAGAACAGTTACTATATTTTCAACAATAAGTCTAGGCAACTTTACTTTTAAACACCTAACATTCAATACGCATCAACTCCTTCATCTTAAAGTTTTTTTACTGCTTAAAAGAAAGGTTTAGCTACATGCAATTTCTACAATGAAAATGGCACATTTTGAATTAACTCTCTAGTAAACACAACAAAAACTTTTTATAAAATCTTACTAAAAATATCCTCGTCTTAGCTTTTATTTCTAATAACTCAACGGCTTCTCTTTCAACTTTACCTCTGATAAATGTTGTGTAAGCAAAAACTCCAAGCTCTTGACCCCTGATATAAACATGTGTGGAAGAACTGACACCAATATTTTAGTTACCAGAAATTAATTATTAGATTCTATCAAACTAGTACTAGCTTTCTTAAGAATCTTCCTGATGCACATACAATACCTACTTACATGTAATGTCCTTCAGTTTTCAATATTTAACTATCTTAAATAATGAATAAATTCTTTATCACAATATCTGACTGCATGTACACTGTAAATTCCTTTGGGTGGTGTTTAAAAACTGGTTCAGTGTATGAGACAATTATTATTTTTAAAGTAATATTCACTACTAAAGTTATCACAATAACTTGCTTAGAAAATTTAATGAAAACTCACTTTTCCCTCATTCTTCTGGATCATACATACATATATATATATATATATATTGAAAAAGAATGCTGTATGCAAAATATTTATTTAAATGAATTGGTGTCATAGCTTTGTAAGTGACACTGTATAGATCAGCTGGTAAAAAAATGAAAATATACAATGGTTATTCCTACATAATACAAAATCTTGATGCTAAACCTTATATATATCCTCCATTGCCAATCTCAACTCAGCCTCAATGAACCTAACTTTGTATAAAAAGTAAAATAAAAGCCATTTATAGTGATTCCATATTTCCAAAATTTAGCCATTCATAGATCAGCTGCAATTATATTATTAAAAATCCCACTTTCAATTTTAGATGACAATATGCCTTTGGTGTTATGCAGATCTGCATTCATAAGCTTTTTTTCTTTTTCTTATGTGATACAAACAGAAGTACTCTGTATAGTATACTCACCTAAAAAACTAAAACAAACCTTTGTAAACATAAATGCTATTTGTGACACTCATAAAACCATACAATACATAATGGTGAAAAACACTGTACTGATGATAATTCTAAAAACAAATGTGCACATGTTAGTGTTTTCCCTGTATATGACGCATACACAATTGAGAAGATGTTTGAACATCCCTGAATTTGTTCATTTAAGACTTCTGGCATGGTTCTTACTGAGCTTTAGTTGCCTGGGTATAAAACAGTGTTTTACTTTGCATCGATCAGAAGACCAAGACAAGTATAAACAAACAAAAATATGTTCCGATAAAAACCCTTTCTTTACTGGTGGAACATTAAAGTGTCTCATTTGATATACTTATTATATACATAGTTGTGATATAAACAACAATTTTTTTTTTCTGATGGGACATCTCAGACTTATTACTTAAAATGTGCTGCCAACCAACTAAAAAAAAATCGGAATGTCAGCTTAAGCTGATGTTAGATTATGCAATTGTGGAGCACAATGGCTAGTTATTTCAATTTATGAACAGCTTTTGTGTTGCAGCAGTGTCAGAAATTGTTTTTTCTATGGAATATAGTCATGGTGTATTAATGGTATTGGAGATTTTAATGTGAACATAAAAAAATAGTACATGTAAAAATGCTGCAAGTATGAAAGCACACTTACAGCAATAACAAACACCTAGTCCCATTTAAACATTGGAGATTGCTTTTAAAACTAAGTTGTTTATTTACACATTTGTTGATCACAAACATGTAATGTTTTTTTTATATAAATTGTTTTTATTCTTGTTCTTTTTCAGTAAATAAAGGGTTAAAGCAAATTCGACTTGAGTATTATCAACAGTTTATCCAAATAGTAAGATTTAGGTCTTTCTGTAATGCATTTTTCTTTTAGAGAAGCATCAACTAGCACAGAATTTTGCACTCCATAGATACAATATGAACATGCATGTCAACTTCTGTTCTACTACTTACTTAAAAAACGTCAAGAAGCATATACTATTACACACAAAATATGAATTTCTAAAGCTATAAACCTGCATAAATGAACTTACAAATATCATAATAGCATTGAAAGTATAACTGCATTAAAACCCACAAGTTTGTGAGAAAAAGGATTCTGTATATAAACAAAAACTAAATACAACAACTTTATTAAGAAGGCAGAGATTTTCTAGTTAAAAATATCAATTCCATATTAATGAAAGAAAACACAAGTAAAAATAAAAACAAAACAAAGAATCTAAATTTACAAACCACTATTTTATAGCTACAAGTGGAATATTCATCCTCTTTATGGAACCAAACTGCATCCTTCTATTTTTTCTTAAGAAAACTACAATAGTACATATCATAACCAGATATACAAGGTCATATATAAATTGTTCATGATTTATCTAGCACTTATCCATGCACAGTGCTTTGAAAACAATTATAAACTTAATGTTCCCATACACGTTTAATAAAATCTACTTATCTTAGAACCACTAGAAAAAAAAAAGATTAAAAACTCAGTTGTATACTAAATTCTTAGTTTCCTATAACTGTGGAGAGAATGGAATCCTTCTACTAATAGTATGCTCATCAGATAATAATAATAGTATACCCATCAAATAATAATAATGGAATCCTTCTATTAATAGTATGCTTATCAGATAATAATATAATCCTTCTAATATCCATTTTTTCAGTACCTCTATTAAGGTTCAAGTTCAGCAAGCAAGCAAGTTGCTTATACAAAATCTCAATTTAAATAAACACTCAGATTTATGATGAAACCATCCTAAATAAACAGTTTTTTCTTTTGTAAAATACTTTACGTTTGTTTCGAAAACACATTAAACTTGAACTGCATGAAAGTTTGACATAAATTATGTAAATATCACAGCTGAAATAGAATATCATTAGAAATAGTGTGTAAAGAAAATAAAACATAAATTAAAACATTACAGACTATCAACATTTTGGTACAATTAAAACTTATTTGATGACCATGATTCTTAATTACTGAAAATTTTGTTACAACATTTATCATAAAGAAAATTATACAAGTTGTGTGAACAAAAAATGTGCTAAAATGTTAAACAGTATATGAATTTGCAATGTTTAGGCCTTTAACTATAGCTTCTTACATGGTTTGAAAAAAAAAAGAAACGAGAATCAATCTAGGTATATGCGAAGAGACTGAAATACAGTTTAATTCCATCAGTACAGATAGATATACAAACTAGAAAAAAAATATTTTTTTAGTATGTATTTTTAACTATAAACATCTGTATATTAAAAAGGCATAACTTATGCAATCTTTCAACAATCAATATGTATCTGTAACTATTACTAGTGCATCATATTCATTAGCTTCAAAATATATATATTTTTTAAGTATCAAAGGATTCTCTTCATAATATCCTTTGCCTTATCACAAGCTTTGGTAAATTTAAAGAAAGTAATTGGGTATTAAAAGTAAGACATGCATGCGAAGGGAGATTTCATTGCTAAGTTTACCAAGTATCAACGATTTAAATATTAAGTTTCATGTTATTTTTATTACCTATCTTGGAACCTCTATAAGAAAGTAGAATTGAAATTGTTTCATGGTTAGACTATACAATCACCTAAATCTAATTACTTACCATTAAGTAACTACACTTGTAATTACTAAGTAATTCAATAATTTTGTGACACATACGACATATAACAATAATTACACTATAACTGAAATTTATAACTTGAACTTGCAGCTTCTCTAAAAGAACTGAGTACTAGCTTGTCTATTTGTAGCAATTACAGTTTTAGCATGAGAATAATGGTATGGCAATTTACACGTAATAAATATAATTATCCAAACCATTAAAATATTATAATTACCTGGAGTGTAAGTCGTTTTTTTTTATAACTTTATTATCAGTTGGTAAACCACAAACAGATTTGCTTCTATCCATAAAAATAATAGCTAATAAATTTAATCTGAGAAATTATAAAATTATTATAGGTTTTCTTAATATTTTAACCAACAAATAAATAATTCTAATTAGACTACCTAAGGTACAGAATTTGGTTTTTATTAAATCTAAGCCTACCAACAATCAATCACAGTTAAACATTACAGATGTCATTGTTTCAAGATTATGATTATCTGATTTTCAATGTCTGAGATGTTAAAGCAACGTTTTTTTTGATAAAATTCCTGGAAAACATACTAATTTAGAGTAACATAAAATAAACATTTAAATAAGTAAAAACAAACCCATTTAGACTAACATGAAATAAACATTCAATTAAGAAACAACCATTTCTTTTTCTCAGGTCTGCAAGTATTTGAGATGAAAAAAAATTAGAATTCTTACTTAAACTAGTGCCAAAACCCCAATTATGCATTCCTCTTATAAATATATTATAATTGAGCATTCTCAGTAATTTCATACATAATACATTGCTACAAGTGTTTTGAAAACTTCAAATATAAAAAATACTTAAAATATATATTCTACAGCAATGGTTCTCAAACTGTCACAGTGAGCCTCCATAAGCTAAGAAAAACACAAAAAATAAATGTGCCACCCCTTAGTTTACAATTTGAGATTGTGCAGTAAAAGCCATACAGCACTAGTCTCGTGTAAATGACTGCTAAGGAATACCACCTGACAACACAAACAAAACTGTCTCCCAGGTTGTACTTCCAAACTACCCTAGAGAGGCACAACCTACAGTTTGAGAACTGCTGTTCTAGAATAATTCAATCCAAAGTATTTTAAAATATCTATAAAAACGTATATTCAATGAAAAATAACGACTTTATTCTTCCAAAACCAAAAAATTCCAAGTAAAAAATATCCTTTCAATTTGTTAAACATTTCAGTTTGTGCCATTTTCAGGAATACACCATTCATACAACTACTACCACCATCGTTCTTCACGGTAAATTTCTAATTCCATTGTGCACATGCATACATGACAGAGTCCCTGATTAACTTTGAGAAATAAAAGTAAGAGAGAAATTTTACAAATATATTTTCTTTATTGTTAAAGTCAATAATCTCAAATGATACCTCAATAAGAACTTTTAAGTTCTTATATTTCAAAATCTGCTTCTACACAACCTACTTTGTTCAACAGCTCTTTGACAGAGTTGTCTGGATCATGTTTTTACTACTATTTACACTACGGTTAAGTATGTCAATTTTCTATTTAATGAAAACAAAACGTGATTTTACAATAAAACACAAAACTTGTATATAGATATAACATAGGGTACTTGTCAAAAAATATAAGAAAAGCAACGTGAAAATTGTTTCAAGAAAAGAAGCTATAAAAAAAAAGTGAGATGACATCCCTGGAATAAGCCTATGTTCTTTACAACCTAATGACCTTTTCACAGAAACTTCTAACATAAATGTTAGAACTGTGTTTGTGAAGGTATGACTAGAGCTAATTGGTCCCAACATAAAATTATAGTGCAAGTAAGAAGTACATATTTATAGATCTTTTATTATTGAGACCTCAAGTGAAACTTAGCATGTTAAGGTTAAGTGTTGAAAATAAGAAAAGTAAGGTTTACAAAAGTTTTTTAGCTTTTTAAGACACACTTTTTAGAACTTTAAAAATTAATTACCTTAGAAAGTAATTTGTGCCTATATCTTTTCACTGATGCAACTGAAAATCCTAACATACAACACAAAAGATATGACAATTCACTGGAAAATGTATGCATATAATTTTTAATTATTGTTTGAATAGTCAGCAAGTGAAACAACAAATTAAAATTAATTTTTCACTAAAGCATCTGAAAATCCTTAATCAATTAAAATAAAAGCACGATGACATTAATTCATCGTAAAACTGAATTGCACACTTACAGGAACACAACACTTCAAATTTCTTGAAGTAAAAGAAAGATGCTACAAGTTAAGTTTCACCAGGAGTATCTGCAAGCCTGCATAATTTTTGTAATTTGAGACTCTATAACTATTGATAAAAGGTGACAACGACTTAGTGTTTGTTTAACAAGAATGATGTCTAATATTTTATAAAACATTTAAAGTAATGATTACAGTTACAATTTTAAATGCCATGAACTTATGAAAGAAAAATAATAAAAAACATATTAAAATTAAAAGTTATTGTGGATTTCAATCCACTCAATATTAAACTACTTAGATAATTTTTCCACAAAATCAAAGTAATTGAAAAAACATCTTTTCACTTAAGATACATTCAGATTACATAATTATTGTGTAAGTGTATGAGACTTAATGTTTCAACACCAAAATTATATCTATGTTTAATGCAACTACTTAAAATGTTGATTAATCTACTGAATTTTAAATGAATAATCCATATATAGATCTATGTATACAAGTTGTGCACAGTTAAAGCAACAAGTAATCTATTAAAGCTATGAAAAAATAACTATGCAGCTCAACACAATATACTCTAGTAGACACATCAACTTGTAAGGCACACATTTCTTTTTACAAAAGGCTGAACATAAAACAACTGAAAACTGAAGCTACTAAGCATCTGAGGAATGTCCATTTCTAGAAGAATCAGTCGTGGTGAAAGAATCTGGACGACAGTGGCGACAACGATGGAATCCGTTAGGAGAATGCTTTAAAAGCTCCTCTATGTGTTTCACTATCAAATCAATAGCAACTGAAAGGTTCAGAAAAAATGATAATAATAAAACTTCTATTTCAACTCAAAAGCTGTCATAATTGCATATGTATCACTTTAAGCATCCAGTTGCTGAAGAAGAGTCAAAATCTGTCGTATATGGAAATAAAAACAGCAGAACACGAGCTACAATTTTTTAAACAATGTCTATATCTGATTCTGAACTAAGTCACATGAAGTTTTAAAAATTTCTTTTATATGACTTTTGCATTACATTAGTTCTTTACATATATGAATAAAATTTTAATGTCTTACAGCATACAAGGAAAGCCTGAAATAAAAACCTGTTGACATACTTACCAAATGTGAACATTTCTTACCTTCATTGTCTGCACCTCGAGGAATGACAATATCAGCATATTTCTTTGTCTAGTGAGATAAAAGAATTGCAAGATGGATATTGTGACACTCTTTATAATTTAAAAGATATTGTAAAAGCTTGTACTTATAAAGATTTACAAGTAGAGCATATAGCTGTGAGGTCCCCCATCTCACAAAAGTTACAAATCTATCAAAATTAAATTCATTTTCTTCATGAGGGCTTATTTATTTATAGACTTATTAAATTCTGTTAACTATAACTCCATATAACATTATGTCTTTATTCTTTTATTTTATTATATACAATTTATATTCAATTTCCTTAACTAAAATGGAAAACCTCCAATCATATGCTACCAAACATATTCTTCCAATACAAAGCAATTACTGAAACCCATTTTCAATTATCCTTAACCATCACAAAATTCAAGCATCCAATATCATGTTATAACTATTTAAAATTTTTTACAGCTTGATAATGTCAATTTCATAAGTCTGTGAGTGTAACAAAATGTGTGTGTATACAAGCTATATACAGTTTAAGCAACAAGTATTCTATTAAAGCTATGAAAAAATAACTATGCAGCTCAACACAGTATACTCTAGTGGACACATCAAACGATCTAGTAAAAGCATGTACTTTAAGTTTTACAAGTACAGCATATAGCTTCGAGGTCCCCATGTCACAAAAGTTAGACTTATCAAAATTAAATTCATTCAACTAAAAAGCTGTCACAACAATTGTATATGCAGCACTTTAAGCATCCAGTTGCTGAAATCTGTCGTATAGGAAGTAAAAACGGCAGAACACAAGCTACAAATTTTTAAAAACATACAAAAATAAAAAGACATTGTAGATTTCAATCCACTCAATATTAAAACCACTTAGATAATTTTTCTAGATCTCTTTTTTTTTTCCCACGTGTATGAGACTCAATGTTTCAACACCAAAACTATATCTGTGTTTAATGGAACTACTAGGCTTGAACTTCGAATAAGATGAGATCCATTCTTGGCTGAATTGTTGTCACACCAACTAAAGAGATCCCATTTACCACGTTATATTAGTGAGTAAATTGAAACTGTTTGCCTTATCATATGTACCATTTTAAGACTTGTCTTATTTTTATATGTGGTTGTGGGGGAGCACAACAGAAAACATGTCTAGAAGGGGAGGAGGGGTACCATGAAAATATTTTGTAAATCACTAGTCTTAAGATGAGATTAAAAAAACCTGCCAAGTAATTTTGAAGGAAGCTTTTAGAGCATTAGCTTTTTTTAAGTAAGTCCAATTTTTTAGTTCATAGCAACATACTGGGCAAAGCCAAAGGTACATGCTCTTCATATGCATTAACTGTATGGAATAGCCTTATTATTTATACAAGGTTTAAAATGTGTCCTTGTGAATTGTATGAAGTGCACAAGCCAGTCACAAATGCTGCATACAAAATATGAAGCTGGGAAAAAAATCACTTACAGGTAAACAAAACTCCTCAAAGGCGGGTTTTACAAACATCGTATACTGCTGTAGAACTTGTTCCAGTTCTCTGCCCCTTTCTGTGGTATCACGCAAAACTAAATTCATAAAAATTGAGACAACTGTTTAACATTATCTATTAAAAAGAAAAGGTAAAACTAGTCAATAAATGATCAAAGATGACAGTGAATAAGAATACAATATTCTATATAAATACTTTATTATACAATCACTACATAACATACATTATGAATCTATTTTGAATATTTCCAACTAAATTTATCAGTAACTTCAAGCACATTCCACCAGTTAGTGAGTCTAACATACTGGTTTGCAGGAAATATAACAACTGTGAGCTAACTAATTAACCTGTGATTCACATGAGCAAAACTGTTAGCTTGGTTATTAACCTACAAGTCATGTGATTAAAACCACAAGCCAGATGATTAACCTACAAGTCATGATTAAAACCATAAATCAGTTAATTAACTTGAAAGTGATTACATCTATAAACCAGGTGTAAATAGCTTAAACCTATGAGTCAAGTGGTAACATGTTAAAGTGTTTATTTGTCTAACAGTCTAATCTGCAAGTTAAGACATTATGCGACAAGTTTTCCAATTGTTCTGCAAGTCTAGTGACTATTCTGCAAGTTTTTAAGTACTTTTCTAGTATCTAATGAATAACTTTATATGTACTCAAAAACCTCACTAAAGAATCATGCATCCACAAAATTAATTCGATACTACATTTCAAGCTATTGCCAGGCACATGAAAATACAATAATTTAGTGGCAGCCAAGAAAGGAACAGAATAATACTTATGTTAATATTTTTCTCTACTGACTGCCTTTTTTTTTTTACAGCTTTAGTTACTCAGAACTAGTCACTAACAAATTGTTGCCCAACTACACCTTACGAAATGTTGCACATGGCTTGCTACAACAGTACAGCTTCTGATTACAAAGCACCTGTATGAAAACAGATAACCCTCTAATGTGTATAATGAGTAATAATAAAAGATGATGTTTTTATGTTCAAGTAACATCCAAACTAGAAAGTGTACAAAAAAGATATAAACTACAGGTTACAAATACTAGGAAATTTAAGGGTAAAATTGAAAACTTGATCAGTGTCTGTTATTGATACTTCCTTATAAGCTTAAAACTTCTTTGCAATAATGCATAAAACTGAGAACAAAGCAAAACAACAACACGTGTTTTTACACATGATCCATTATCTTCATTTTTACATTTAAATATTATCCAATCAATGCACTGACCTCTTCTTGATAACCTAGTATCAGAATCAGAGTCTACAAATAGTTTCATGTGGAATAAATCCCTCATTTCTTGGAAGTAAAAAATTAAAATTCCTTCAAAGAGCACCACATCAGCTGGATGGATGGTCAGCCACTCATCCTTTTTCCTGAAAGATAAGTTATCATTGAGATGATTAAAATTTTAACAATGATTTATCTTATTACATATTTTATGGAACAAGAACACAGATCAAACTGAATAATAAACCTCATGACATAACAATCTGACAACTGTAGTATTGAGCTATATCAACTCTCATCAACCCAGCTAGGTGAATAAAAATAAACCTCATGACATAACAATCTGACAACTGTAGTATTGAGCTTTATCAACTCTCATCAACCCAGCTATGTGAATAAAAATAAACCTCATGACATAACAATCTGACAACTGTAGTATTGAGCTATATCAACTCTCATCAACCCACCTAGGTGAATAAAAAATAAACCTCATGACATAACAATCTGACAACTGTTGTATTGAGCTATATCAACTCTCATCAGCCCAGCTAGGTGAATAAAAAATCATTTTATTCAAAGGAACTTCTCTTATTTTTAATTTTCAAATAGAGTATATATATATTACACAAATTCTAACTTTTAAATCCACACTTTCTTATCATTCATAATGAATTCACTTTTCCTTAGCATCATAGTCTAATGTTCAATGACCTTTTGCATCACATCAAATGTACATGAACAACAGAGTAAGGTAGTTGTACACTTTTTTTAATAGGGGCTGTTAACATTCACTCATCAAACTTCAAAGCATTATTACCTCTTCATACAGAAGGCAAATCTGTACATGCTTGAGTATGATAACCACAATAAGCATTTACTGCATCACTTTCCAAAATGAACAAGTTTTATTTTTATCAACTATCACGACATGCAGTAACTATTTTTATGTTTACGGTTGTTATAACCAATAAAGAAAAGAGCTAATCTTAGATAATTAAACCTAAGTTATGGACTCTAAGTATAAAAAAAAATAATAATAATAAAATAGTAAGGACACATGAATTCAGTGTTACTGGTTTTTAAACAGTAGTGCTTCTTATGTTACAAACACACTAACACTTATCAACTTTCATTCATCATTACCAGACAAGGCATCAGTTAAGGCAGAGCATGATCAAAGGTCAAGCTAGCACTGGGTAATTCTAGGAAGGCTGAGCATGTGGCCCTCTACAATAATCAAATTCATACTGCTAGTCAGATTAAGTATCCATGATAGTATGGACACTTTTTCATAATCCTGACAAAATCCTGTCTGCAAAATATACATATTATATGTCATATGTGAACTGTCAATGCCAAGTTATACTTTGGATTTAATCTCAAAAATCTTTACATAGCACTGACTACGTGTGTATAAATTCTAGACTGTAATATCAGATCTGTAAGAATAAAGAAATTGCAAATCAATTCAAAATCAGGTAGTGTCAGTTTAATTTATAACATACAAGTTGTGTGATGACAGAAACATCTTGCACTTACTTTTGATCACAGTTTTCCTGAGATGCAACACTTTACATAGCTGTTACACACACACAACAAGTTTTTTTAGGATAACTCAGAAATTAAACAGGTGATCACAATGTCTGATAATTAGGTGCAAGGACAGAAATATCAAGCAGGAAAGTATTTATTTCATAGAAAGAAACGGTATTATGACTAATCTATCTCACCTGGAATGAGAAACAAAATCATACAATGGTATGCTGACCACCTTCTCTTGGAGAATATCCTTCAGCACGCTAATAATAAGCTCATTGTCAAAAGCATCTATAAAATAAGAGTAAAATACATGAAAGATTAACTGAACAAAAACAACAACTCTTTCCTTAAACTTTTCATACATGTAAGAAATTTAAACTTCTACTAAGATCACTGGAAAAACTATAAAAAAAAAGGCTTACTTGTAATTTAATACAAAATGTTTAAAGATATAAACAGCCATTACAGCAATTCACAAATATATAATGACCCAAATCTAGGTTTAGAACTTCATAATTAAGATCTGTGGCTGCACGTTAGTTTAACTACCCATCTTGCAATTTAACAGAGTATATGAGCTTTGTGATTCCACACACACAGCAAGGCCAAAACAGCAAATAAACTGTTACTGGAAACAAGCATCTTTATTTTCAGAAGAAATTTGAAAAATTTACCTGGATGGTCAAAATTGTACATCCCTTTATAAGCTAAGGACTTTTCTTCTTCTGCAAGTTCTTTGTAGAAACTCTCCTGACTGACACTGATGACCTGCCTTTGTGAGTCTATTATTGAATCTTGGTCCAATTTCTCCACAATTTTTCTGCAAACCGTTGACTGCAGAAGCAACAAAACATTAAGTATTAAATCAGACTTGTATTCCTATATATTTTCAAAATATCATTAAATTTCCTTAACTTGTACAGAAGATTGAGTACAATATATTAAAATGATTTTGAATACACAAATCAGCAAGTCACATGACAACCACAACCAACATCAAGTTGCAGTGAACTGTCATGTATCAAAATTCCACTTTAAATTGTCTGGTATTTTGTAGGTAGTTCACTGTCAAAAAAAACTGATCACTTTTGGGAAGGATGTACAATAGTTCTTTCTGACACAAAATATTCATACACTGAAATCATAAACAGATTGGGGATTTAGAATTTCAGGGGGATATCCTTTGTACTTAATGGCATTGGAAAACAATGAAATATGGATCAACTTGAGGCACTAGAACCACCCAAAATGAGACCTGCAACAAGTTGTACCCCAGTCATAAAAAACAAAGAGTAGCATGATGTAACAGATAAGAATATAAGAATACAAAAAATGGTGACAACAAAAACACCACACAACATTATGAAGAAAGATCTCAGTCTGGTAATGATGCTAGCAGGGTATGGGTTCACCAAAATAAGGCTTTCAGTCATACCCCCACATTTGACCATCATATACCTCAAGATGCTGGAGAATGAAACAGATATTCATGCTATTCCATAAGAAAACATACTAGTAAAGTCACTAAATGCAGCATATGTTTATATCTAGATAATGGGACTGTTGAAACAGGTGTTTGAAAACTGTTGTCTTCATACACTGGATGAATTATGGAAAGCATCAGGGAACAATAGTGTGCTTTTAACATAACAGCTTTAAGACAGAGCCTTCTGCAACAGAACCTATAGTGTACTTAAAAGCTATTGTCAGGATGCATTGTTGTCAGAAAGAGCTTTAATGGACATGGCAACATGGACTGCTACAATGAAGTGAGGCTCCAAAAATGGTTTAATATAACATTCTCAACCACTGTATGACAATGTTTTAAACTTCACTAAGTTCCTTACTTTTTTCTTCAATTAACTTTAAATGAATGGGCTCAGGCTCAGTCCACTGGACCAATCCCATTTTCAAGAAGACATTGGGTCTAATTCTAAATTTACTATGTTTATTTATACAAAATGTGGCAAGCTTTTAAATATACAAGTCAGTTGTATGCAAAAAAAATCAGGTGAGTTACAAAGGTATTTGTACTCAAGATATGTCTATAAATTTACAATACCAGTCTGACTGAGACTCTGACTAGTCAGAGTGCAAAGTGATACTCACGTGAAGAAAGAAAACTTGTCCATCACACAATATATATATATATATTGCATCTGCATAACCTCTAGACCCTCTGTAATGTGTATCTACAGTTTTTCAGTATCCCTGTATATTGTGTCTGGTATTTACTCTCCACCCCAAACTGTCACTAAATCAGAAGTGAAGGTTAAAATGAACAGTTGAGAATTCTGAAATCAAATATATAATACCAAGTTAAACGGTGCTCTGTAAAATGATTGTGTCTTTTGAACTTTGACCCCAACCCATGCACATAGGATTAACAATCAATTTCTAGAAAATATTATTTCTTAACTCATCATTTTGTTTATGGCACTTCATTGTATATAACCTACTACAATGACTGTTAGGTTCACAAGAATATAGAATTCAAGTTTATTCCAGACAACAATAGCGAGCAAGATAATGAATCCATACCTATAAAAATGCTAATAAATATGGGTAGGCATGTTGAGATACCAAGTATTACAGAAATAAAACAAAATGGAGACTAGACAATGATGTATAGTGATCAGAAATATTTAAGTTACAATTTACCAATTAAAAAGAAAATTGGGTCTCCAAAAATAAATTAAATAATGAAAAATTTTAATAACATAAAATGGTCATTCATTTAAAATTTATTACTCCAGCACACACTTCACTTAACCTGTTCTTTGTTTAAGAAGGAGATATCCTTTGTACTTAATGGCATTGGAAAACAATGAAATATGGATCAACTTGGGACACTAGGACCACCCAAAATGAGACCTGGAACAAGCTGTACCCCAGTCATAAAACACAAAGAGTGGCATGATGTAACAGATATGAATACAAAGATGTAACTGCAAGATAACATATGAGTAAGTTTTTTTATTACTGAAGCAGTTTTGATTCTCTCTTTGATACTGATTATTGTTAATTGTGTAGGAACTTAGAAGGTTTTAAAGACAGATTCAAAATAGACTTGTAAACCCAAACAACCATTTTGTATAGTATTGGTTAGCTGATTTCTCAACCTGAGAGATTGTGCATTTCAAGCTTGAAATTCTAATTTCCTGAACCAAATTTGCATCTAAGGTGTACTTTTCATGCACAAAAATTATTGATCTTCTCAATTAATCTCACTCATCTTTAAACCAACCAGTGTAAATTGTACATACTGTCAATCCAGTACTGTTATTGGGAGCCAAGTTGTATTTCATCATGCATCACAAACATTAGCTCCATCCCAAGTCCAATCATGAAACAGTAGTGAATGAAAGACACAGATCCTGGGACAATTAAGCACCACCTACACCATTAATTAGCTAAAACACAGACCTCACTCATGATTGCAAGGACTTTGGATAAGTAATGTTGCTTCCAACTTGATTGTTGCTAATTAACAGCAGGGTTTTTGTATGCTGAAATATTTGTTGCTAATTAACAGTAGGGGTTTTGTGTGCTGAAATAACAAAACAATTTATTTTAATCCCCAGTTAAATGTCTGATTGTCTAAGAGTTTTTTAATGGGTAGAAGTGAACAGACAAATCTTAATAACAAGTAACATTATATTATTTCTTTAATTGCCTTGAAACAGGATAGTAAGTTTAACTGAAAAGCTGGATAAAATAATTCTCTCAGAAGACATAAATGAGTTAAAATGTGATATAGAATAACTGCTTTGCACTTTACCTAAAACAATGTGGAAAATGAAAATTCTGAACATAATGCAAAAATACACAATACTCAGTATGAATTCCCCAAACATGTGCCCTACATCAGTATGCTCACTCTTAGCCAAAGTCAAGATCTTATCTCCCTTATCAATTTTAACACCTATGAGTTGACTCTCAGCCAAGAAATCCTATTGAAAATCCTGACTGTATTAAATATAAAAATATAAAGTATTGTTAGTTGTACTTGTATAAATCACATCATATGTTCATAAAAGGAGTCTTTATTTTTACTGTCCTATATATGATAAACACTTCATGTTTCACACTTTAAAAGAAACTTGAAACAAATTTACACTGAAACTGACACGTGTGCTCCCTCCCTTTAAAATGATATTTAAAGTAAACATAACTTGAAACAGATGATAACATGGTCATGACATAAGTGTTAAGTGCTCATATGTTAACTATAAGTATATCACATATAGTAAATCTCGTGGCTTGTGTGCAATGAAACAGTATACTTAAAACTTCTTGATTGATAAAATTAGTTGAGGAGTATCATGGCTTCACATGACAAAACTTATAAGGCTGTTTGAAATGCACAAATTGAGCAGCTACTGTAAGTGAAAGTTAAAATCCTTCTCTTCATATAGAATACTTCCCACCACATCTAAACCTTTGCATGTGCTGATAACCATAACACAATTTTTTTACATTTCAACACCAAGGCCTAATTTAAAAATATTCTTTTTAAAACTTTTAATAGTAATGTAACCCCATCTTGTGAAATTTACTTTTAGACATAGAGGTATAAAATTGTGAATTAAATTTAAAAACAAGAAGAAAATAATTTTTTTTCATGGAGATAATTTCCTTCACCATAGCTAATATGTTATGAGCAAGAACAAATAAAAAAGAGCAACCAACTTCTTATAAGGAAATCATTTAGCTCTGAGATAAACTTTTCTCACATAAGCAAATTTAATAATTTTCAAAATACACAATTTTCTTTAAGTTTTGGTTTGAGAATTAGAGTTACTGTCAGAATAAGCTCTAAAGAAATATGATTTAACTGTAGAATTATGGAGATCCACTAAGTCCAGAATGTATATATATTTAAATGAATCAAATAATAAAAAGGGTGTTTTTGTTTGCATTTATAGATGAAAAAGAATATCATATTAAATAATCCTTTTACACTTTACAGTCAGCAACCACAATAGTTAACACATGTTGTAGTTTTACTTCTATTGCCAGCATATTTCATCCAGAGTATACACTACATACATGAAACATCTATACTACTAGAACTAGTACTGTGTACCCAAAACAGTAACATCCAGATGTTTGCAGAATGACCAAGCAGCTTGACAAGTTCCACACATTTTCTATCTTCTTCATAACATAAAATGGTTTAGAAATAAACATCTAACTGTGATTGCTAACACCTGCATGTACCTGTTATTAGGTAATGTTTATGAGCTCAGATTTCATTGTACATTACACCAAAATTTTTAAATCTCAAATTTATTTCCTATAAATTAATGATTAATGTTCATTCTTAAGTTACCTGATTTTAGCTTCCTTTTCTAATGATCTATTTTACAATAAGAAATTAAATAATTCACAAAAATACTTGAATGTCAATTAGAATTAACTTTTGATCAAAGCAATTTACTTACTTTGATCAAAACTTAAAAATCAACTCAGTAAGAAGTACAGATAATTTAATATACTTTTTATACATTCTTATAAAGATTAGAATGTATTGTTTCATCAGTTTGGTACATTTGCTGTTAATGAAACTTTCAGCAGATTTGTAAAACTACTTAGAAAGTGCGTCATCAAAAATGTAAGGATGATATGATGCTAGGTAAGTTTGATATTACTGAGAATGTTTCTTTAACTCATTAATGACTGAACAGTATCAATGAATGACAAGAGCTTGGAAATTATGCATAGAAAGGAATATAAATGCATGTATAAGTCATTACCGACATAAACTTAAAACTTTTGAATGTTTGTTTACGATTAAAAGAACTAAGAGTTGTGTTTTTTTTGTTGTTGTT